CGCAGTTATTTAGTTATATTATATTGATTTTACGAATGCATAGCATGGTTATAGCTATACAGAGATAAACTACACCTAGCCTAAAGAAGAAGGAGGAGAGAAGAAAGACATGCTTCAGGAAGTCTATTGGATTTCGTCTCACGTAGATGTACGCACGCTATATGCCGCTCCTCGACTGGACAGAAACCAGATCGAGAAGCATGGAGTATTTCGATTGCAAAGACGTGTAACCGATTCCGCCAAAAAGAAGAAGCCCAGGAAAAGAAAAAAAAAGCAGAACCAATGAGCTTGTATAAACGCCGGAAATGGTCTGTCGGATATATCTTGTATATCTTGCGTGCGCTCTCCGAATCTCCTTCATGATGCACCATTCTCGTAGATTCATACAGATTCCAACAAACATATACACAGTTCTCGAAAGGAGACACAACGGGGCAAAAGAGATAAGAGAAGAAAAGGGATGCAATAAGAAGAGAAGATGGAAAGGGAAAAAACAAATCAAATCTATCATATCGGGAATCATACGGGCGTTTCCTTAGAAACAGAAACATGAACATGGCGAGAACATCGTGTGGTGTGAACAAAGGGCCGAAAACAGAAAAATGGTGCCCTGGCTTCCGCCAAATCAATGTATAGGATATCGAGGTGTAACTCCAACTCCGGTCGAAGACATGCGAATTCCTTTGTTCTCCCGCTTCAACCATTCCATATGAATTATAGATGAAGCGAGAGAATTGGTGGGGTTTGGTGGGGGTGGGATAGGGGCTATGGACTGCCCGGGGCTGTCTTCATCTAGAAGGGAAAGCCGCCGCCGCGAGCCTGGCCGCCGAAGGGGTGGCCGCCTGCAGAGGCGAAGCCTCCGCCGCCGCCGCCGTTCATCATGTTGAACAGGATGTTGGGGTCGATGTTGATGTGACTGGCTCCGCCGCCCATACCACCCATGCCGCCCATTCCTCCCATTCCTCCCATGCCGCCCATGCCTCCCATACCGCCGAAGCCACCGCCGCCGAACATGTCGGCGGGGTCCATCAGGTCGTCTCCGTTATCATAAGCAGCACGTTTCCTAGGAGATGGGTTAGTTCTGTGGTTGACTTTGATGAAGGGTAGATCGTAAACTTACTGAGAATCAATGAGGGTTTCGTAGGCCTCGCCGATCTCCTTGAACTTCTCATCACCGGCTTCACCGTCACGGTTCTTATCCGGGTGGTATTGGATGGCCATCTTGCGGTAGGCCTTCTTGATCTCGGTCTCGCTGGCATCCTTGCCGACCCCGAGAATCTTGTAGTAATCCTTGCGCTGGGACTTCTTAAGCTCGAACTCGGCGCGGCGGATCTCCTCTGCGATGCCCTTCTCGCCGGGGTTGTTCTCGGCAACGCTCTTGTAGTCGCGGACGGCATCCTCCCAGTTGTCGGCACCGGCATTGGCTTTGGCACGGACCTTCATAGCCTTGACATAGCCGGGGTCGAGGCGCAGGGCCTCAGTGCAGTCCTGAATAGCTGAATCATACTCCTTGAGGTTGATGTAGGCCTGTGCACGGTTCCCCAGGATCTTGGCGTTCATATCCTTGTTGGTGGGGTCGACCTCGAGAGCTTGGCCCCAGAGATCGATGGCGCGGCGGTAGTCCTTCGCCTTGAAAGCGGTGTTTCCTTCCTCCTTGGTGCGGGCCAGCTTCTGCACAATACGCAGCAACTTGATCGCCTGCTTCATGTCCGGGTCCAGCCCGAGGCACATCTTCAGGAGCTTCAGCGCCTGTTCGGACTCACCGGAGGCGTAGAAAGCGCGGGCACGGATCATCATGGCATCCGGGTCCTGGCTGTTCTCGCGCAGCATGCCGATCGCGATGTCCTGTGCCTTGCCGAGCGAGTTGCTGTTGTTCAGCCTCAACTGGGCCTCGGCTGCTAGGAGCGTCCACTTGCGGGGCTCCTTCACCCCTTGTCCGAGTCCTTGCCGTGCCTGGTCCAGACAGAAGATCACCATTGACACCCCGCGGTCCTCTGCTAGTGTCTCCTCAGCTTGTGTGACGAATCGCAGCATTTTCTCTGCGGGGGCTTTGTCGGTCGCGGAGACCGCCGGCTGGATCTGTGACAGCACATTCAGGGCCTCTGATGGGCGACCCAGGCTGGTCAAGATCTTCGCCCAGCGGTGCATAATCTTGGGGTTGTTGGGGTCGAGGTCGTTGGAGCGCTCAATATCCTCGAGCGCGTTCAGGTACTGCTTAGCAGACATGTAGGCCGCCGCGCGGTTGGACAGGTAGGCCGATGAGTTGGGGTTAATCTCAATGGCTGTAGACAAATATTCATCAGCGACCCCGGTCGTCTAGAGTGGATCAAGTCCGAGTTAGAGAAAATGCATACCCTTGTTGTATTCCTGGATCGCTCTGTAGTAGTTGCCATCCTTGAAGAACTTGTTTCCCGCCAGCTTGAACGAGTCGGCCTCATCGGCAGATGATGAGTTCGGCTGGTGCGGTGGGGGAGTCGGGCTCCGTTCCTCGTTTGTGCCGTTCTGGAGAGTCTCCTGAGGATCGATATCCATGGAGCTCCGCTCCTCTCTAGATGCTGCCATGGCCGACAATCGACGACGTAGCTCGTCAGGCGGAAGATTCAGCGGGTGTACGTCCTGGTCACGCGAAGACCGAGCGAACTTGAAAGTAGACGTTGGTCCCGAATTCGAGGACGAGTGACTATGAGAGAAATATGTTTTGGGTTTGGCGGGGGGTTTGGTGGGCGAGGGAGAGGATTTGGAGGGCGATTTAGAGGGCGACTTGGAAGGCGACTTGGAGGATTTGCGCGAAGCGGAGAAGGAAGTTCTCGGTGACGGGGAATCAGAATCTTTCTCCTTGTCCTTGTCTTTCTTGAAGATATGGGCGAGTTGGACCATTGGGTGGGGGGAAAAGAGGCGTTCGGGGGAATTTTTTTTCTATCGAAGGCGGTAGAACCGGGGAGACTTCCAAAGATCTCAAGCACTTCTGAGGTCGACACAATGATATATGTTATGTTCAAACCATGTCAGTCTGCTCTTGTCATGTTAATAAATATGACTGCAAACGCAAACTGTCCACTGCAAACTGCAAACTGCAAACTGTGAATTGTAAACTGTGAACTGTCACCAACGGCGAGCTGATGTATGGGGGTATGGGTGAAGACAAGAGAAGAAATCGTCTGACCTTTCCCTTATAATATATTTTATATTTTATTTAATGAGAACGTCCTAGGCAAATAATTCAGAGGCTGGAGAGCTACTGGTCTGTGTTAGCGCGCAAAAGAACTGGAGCAATGGAGTCACTACATGCATTTCTCGACGGAAATGATCCCCCCAGCCGCTGGAAAAATCAGATCAGGTCGATTCGAGAATCTTCTTCTTACGGCACGCATGAAGACTTGATCACCCCCTCAACGGAGTGGGCAGGGATGGCGAGGCTGTCTATAACTCGCAGTGGAGCGGTGGATCCGACATGCAGTTTGCTACGCTGACGGTGACAGGCATACGTCCAGCGCTGTGACTGGCGTCTTGGAGAGGGGAACCCCTGCATCGGGCTTTCTTGAGACGGATATACTAACTATGGATACTAAAACATGTCTCGGCCAATCCAGGTAGACTGTCGTGTCTTTTTCCTGGGGTAATATATCGCGTGAGTCTTGGCTCTGAGGTATATACAGAAGTGAAGGCCTTGATCCTCCTTCATTTTGCATCTTTTGGTGTGTCTTATCTGGCGCCATTTTGAAAAACGGGTTCATACGATGTGCTTGATATCGTTCTTGTCTTCCAGCTGGAACCCTCAGTGAACACCATACCACATGGGCCACTACAAAACTATAAAACAATTGGTCAGTGCTCAAGTCCCTTCTTATGCGTCTTGTGTATCGTATTGATCAGGATGTCAATGGTAGGACTCACATAGGGGTTAAGAAGTAAGATGAAAAGACTCGAACTGGCGGTGAGACCAATATTGAACACGTCGATTCAGACTTGATAAAGGCCCCTGAGCGATGAATTTCATCTGTAGGATATCAAAGAATATTGGCTTTGCATCCAATAAAATTCAGCCACAACCATAACTGAAATAACTTATCAGTTTTGTTGACATGTAGTTCGGCCCATGATTTTTATAGATGTTACCATCGCGACCGACCTTAAGAGACTAGCGCAACTCATCTGCAATCAGACCAGCTCGATAGCCCCCCATCACGCCGGTAAGTTCTGCCTCCTTTCCGCGATATCGATCCACCTAGAAATCTGCGCATCTCTTAGCCGTGCTGCATGCATTGAGCCATATCTGTGGCTGCCATAAGGTGGTGGCTGGTCCAGTTGACGATCTGCACTCACGCGACCAGGGCTAGGGCTGAACGATGAGTCAATTTGAAATGGCGACATTGATGAAATCGGCGAAATGGGTGAGGATGTCGAAGACAATGATCTGTTTCGGGTCTGAGGATCCGGTATACGCGGACTGTCTCTATGCCCAACTATCCAATATTCTTCGTCTTCGAGCCAGACAAGGGGTAGACAGGTCTGTGGCCGTCTAGGGAGCGAACTGGATCGGAAGTTGGATGAGGTGAGTGAAGGCAGCTCGCGTGCTTGTTGGGGGTGATAGTCTGGAAATATCTCGTTGGAAGGACTTGGGCTTCTCCTCCCTCTGTGGGCTGGGCTTCTTCTGAGATTGGGGTCGAGTGAGGGACCAGAGGGCCAGTCGTTCCGTCTTTGATACTGCCGTTGTGATGCGGTGTTTGTTGAAGTCGGTGCTGGTGGTAAAGGTTTCCAAACCAGGATGTTGGTGATGCTGGTATCCGGAGGGGGGGAGTGTATATGAATACGAGGATTTGTGGGATTTGGTGGGACACAGAGTCGAGGATTGTCAACCGGAGGCCCCTCGAGGGATGAGAGATCCATGAGCGGAATGTCGAACTTAGGTGGCTTTGTGAAACTTGTGTGAAGTTTTCGTAGACATGGACAAAAGTGCATTGTGCAGACAATATACGATCAGGGTCCAGTATACACTATCTTTAAACACAGTGACGTGCACTTTGAGAAGTGCCAATGTTGGGATCGTCGTGAAGGCTCGTATTCAGCACCAAAATAAACACTGGACACGAGAATTAGTCCTAGGACAGGTTGAGGATAGGCCTGAGAATATGTCCAACCTCACTCGAGACGAAGGATCATGGCATATGCCTTGCAAGGCATGTCGCAGCTTATTATAGAACCAACTCCATAATCTGAGCACATAGGGCGTCCTTACGGCTAACAACACAGGGGGGGATCTCAACGACGCTTATTCTATTTTATTTTTCTCGCCTGCTCAGCATCCATTGTGACCGCTCATCACTTGCCCCTGTAAGCACCAATTCCTTGTCCGGGAAACGGTCGCAGGATTTCGCCAGGAGCGGAAAGTGGGCGAATATTGTGCTATAATCCTGATACCCGATTAGCCTCTCGGTCTGAATTGGGGTCCAAATTCGATACTAGAAGGATCCCCCTCGTTCTCACCGCAAGGGCCTAATAGCGTCATATTGAGACGGTCTTCTTCCGAGCCTCCCGCTTCGCCTTGAAATTACACGGAACACGAACGAGGCCCCAAAAGCCAAGAACGAATGTAAATTGTAATAGAAGGGGCCGTGGTTCCTTAGACCCCACAGTTGCCGATACGCCTCCCGGGATTGACATCGAGTCTGTAATGGCGGTGAATGTTGGTCACTGAGGGGTGCGCCTAAAAGAGAGGGCTCTATATATTTGTTGTCAGTGTACGGTGATGTATATCGGTATAAAAGGTTCAAGGGCGTGCAGTAAATCAATGTAGAACCCGTAAGTGCCCTGCAGACACGGTTCCCGCCATTGTGGTCACTAGTGGGGCTCTTTATTTTTGCCTACCAATCACTTACCGTAGTTCGTGTAAATGACATAGGAGGGTCACGATTTCATAGCATAAAGAGGGAAGATGGTGCGAGATATGCACGTAAACATCTAGAAAGGTGGAGCTATATTACCCTCAGAGTGATAACTACAGATCGATCTGTTTGTTTTTGCTGCTGCTAATTTGGCGCCTTTACACGCCGTGACTTAGCACCGCCCCCATCCCTTCGGAATAGTCCCTCTTATCCAGCAATCCTCTATATTTCCCCCTATTCCAGCCCCGCAGAACAGTCCATCGAAAAAGGCCAAGTCAATACCCTGTAGGTCATCTTCATCGGGTAGAAGTTCCATAGAATCAGGCAACTCTGCGTCGGTCCTGTTCATTTGAATGGATCCATCTGATGAAGGGAGCTGGTAGTGATTCACCGGCATCATCCTCGAAACCGGATGGCCCATTGTTGACATGACGTCGAATCCAGATGGGTGTTGGTCATGTTCGACCGGCTGGACCGGGCTCAGCATATTGGAGACAGACATGGTCGAAATGTCGGGATCAGGCTGAGCTTCTGTTTTTGGCACAGACTTTGAGACAATACCACGTTCAAAATTGATGGCGCCAAAATAGGGGATGTGGACTTGTAGTGTCTTGCCGTCGTTGGTCAACCTGCCGTCACACTCAAGCCCTCCGTCATCGCTCTTAGATGAGCTCGTGTTGTACATGTCACCCCGGGCGGCATTTGCCTCAATAGTGAGAAGATGATGAATTATTCGAGTGAGTTTACCGGAAATCAAATCATGTTCATCGCGGGCCTTGGATTCAAGAATCCCTAGGGCACACTCCATGGAGCCACGGTCACTCGGGCGGCTGTGGACAAGGGATTCAAAACCAGTGTGCGCATCCGAGTTCTCAGGTCCTCGGAACTGACTCCGGGAGTTGATGTGAGAAATACAAAGTATGTTCATGGCAATAAACGCAAGGAAATCACTGCCGCGGCAGTAGAAGTATGCAGGATTTGAGGTGCGGAATGCATTATAGCGAGACAGTATTTCGCGGCTGGCATTGATGGCGGTAATTTTGCTATGATTATTCTTTTGTCCAGACGAGGAAAAGATGTAGGGTAGATGCAGCCGTATAAGCATGTGATAGTGCGTTAATTGATCCATGATACGAACTGTATCTCGAAGGACTTTGGTACTATCACTTTTGCAGGGGATAAAATTCGGTATCAGCCACCATTGAGGTGCCATATCATCTGCAGCTTTGCGTAATAGCATGTCGTCCTCCTGGACTTTGATAAGGCTGTACATCCCGCCGTTATTCCGCTCAATAATACGACTGGCGACAGCACAGTGGATGCGTTGCATGCGGTCATTTGGGCTGTACTCTTCTAACGCTTCAGGAGTAGAAAAGCGGTCTTCGAGTGATGTGTGCGGCAAGCCTAGCATGATTGACAGGGAGCGGTCCCTTTGAATCAATAGAAAATAAGTTTGAGCGGGGTTGAATGCCGCTCTAGTCTGGGGCTCAAGGAATTTCAGGGATGGTGAGGCAAGTCCGCGATGCAGAGCCATCATCTGCGCAATGGTAGTCGCCCGATGTATTGCCATCCATGCACGATGAAGGTTTCCAGCGTAGTTCTGGTACACAGCCTCAAGAACGATGCATTCCATACCCTCGACAGAGCGGATGAGGTCTTCATTAGTAGTGACGAGGCTGATGGCCCTGTCAGTTACACGAGACATGATTGAGCGGACAGAGACGCCGACCCTCCCAAACTCTCGGAGGCAAGAAGGGGGAATTCCTTGTAAAAATATGCCGAGGACCAGAAGCTTACGCGCAATCAGCACCGGGTGCTTACCCGACTCAGGGGGGTTTAGTATCTCCCTTGTCGATGATAGAGCCTCGTCCGCGAAGGTGGAGGCAGACTTACATATTCCCCAGAATAATGGGAGTGAAATGCCTGTTGGGAGGCTACAAATCTTCTCAATATCACTTTCACTGGGCCATGCTGCGATAAGGTCGCGAGCCAGTTCTTGATATTTGCTTGGAGGTAGCCTGTGCGAGACTGATGGTGACTTCCATGGGATCCCCGGGATGAGATGTCTCTCATAATTTAAATCTTGCTTTTCGGATGTCAGAAGGCTAGGTCACTTAATTACGGTGAATGGGCAAATTTACCACGGTGTGGGTTGTAGCTGATACTACCTCTGGTTGGCACTTTTCCCCATCCTCTAGTGTCACCGAGGTTGACTGAGGAGGTGACTGTAGACTTAGGCCGGATTCAGTCTGATCCAGCAACTGCTCGAGCAGGCCTTCCACCCGGCGAAGCCGACCCTCTAACCCATTGCTGCTCGCAGAGACTGTCTTATCAGGATACTCCTGAGTGATACAAGTACTCCCGCGTCTTCGACAATCATTGCATGCATATGCCGAAGATCCGAAGACGCACCGAACCTTTCGTCGCTTGCATTCCCAACAGCTTTGGGTCCCCTTCCGTATCTTTCTTCGCTCGGCTCCGGGGCTGTCCTTTGGGCGGATCACTTCATCCATGACTTGTAACACACCACGCTTCACCAATATGATGAGGATGTTGATTTGAAGCCCTAGCTCCGATAATGGAGATCACTTCAGGGCAGAGGCGATGTATGAACATGCTATCAATTTCCCCGAGCTCAGCTGAACTCTATACGATCAGCGGACGGTCACGTGACTATAATCACAGTTGATGTTTCACCCCCTCTTCTTATTGGTTTATTAAGTTACTAGCCGTAAGATTATTTCATAGTCGATACATACACAATCGATTGAGCCTAAGTCCGAGAGGAAGGGACCAGTGAAATTTTGGAATATCATTGTATTAAGGGTGAGATTACTTGTATTCATTCTGGCAAGCTCTCGGTCGAAGCCTTTATAGAGACGCAAAAGATGATAAAACTTATCATCTTGAATGATCATTTACTAAACTTTTGCGGAGAATGTATTCTAAGTCAATAGCAAAAAGGTCAAGATTGCGACTGCTGGTGGTTCTGGCAGTGGGTGCTTTGAGCTTACCAACGTGTTCTGCGCAGTCCATGAGTGTTTCTAATTCTTTCAGGAAATGTCGCTCAGGAGATCATTGATGTTCTCCTTGAGATTAAGAAGCATTAGATCTTTATTTTGTCGAGAAAGGTTTGCAATCCCAGAGATAACATGGGTTAAACCAGACTACAAAGACCCAAAATAGTGGGGGGGAAATACTGCAGGCAGTCAACACTTTACTCTCTGTTGTTCCTGGACAGAAGGATCCAAACGGTCTAGTCCAGAAAAGACTTATCTACGCCGCCGTTCAAGCTGGTGTGAAGCGTTTTGCCAATGAGGGGGCAACCCAAGCTTGAAGCTTGCCTCCTCTCTTATGTTTCTTCTTACTCATTGACAAATTGTAGATCTGGCTTGGAACAACTGAGCTGCTACGGCTACGAAGATAAAGCCCGCCAATATCTGGAAGAGCTGAACACGGACAAAATGGTGGGACGTGGAAAGCTTTTATGAAATTTCCAGTATCTAACACAAATATTATCTGCAAATTTTGCAATACGCACTGTTCCAACAAGGTCTCTCTGTAGACCACTTGACCCGTCCTTACATGTCGACCAAGCACATGGACCAAATGGAAATCCCCTTCGATTTTGCAAACCGTCGATTCATCACCGTAGATGGCAGCAATAATGATCAAATCGCCCTCACTACAGTGAAAGACCTCACTTATGCCGTAGCCAGAGATATTGACTTCAAGGGGGGTGGCCGGTTGTTGGGGGTATCAGAGGCACTGATATCTCCATCGGGCAGCTTTTAGCCCTCGGCGAGAAAGTCCGCGGTGAGCGACTTCAGTTGATATACTGTTATGTTTATTGCTTTTACTGATATTCTATTCAGCAAGGGGCCAGTATTTTCATGTCAACAAAGTGAAAGCAGAAAATTTCTTGGGTTCGAAATGGGGTGGTAAGCCGTGTTGAGATAGATGTTTTCCTGCGTAATTGGCATATTGGAAGAATGAGACTTATTTTGACATGAGCTATTTGTCGTGGCAAACAGCCTGTGGACTTCACACCCCTCTTACGTCACAATTGAAAGAGTTAGGACACTGTAAGTTTCTTCTGGTTTCATATTCACTTTAGTCAATATACACGGAACTAGTAAAGATATAACACGATTCCAAGATTCTCCTTTGGCTACATACACACTGAGTTTACTTCTTTGAGATTACAACTACTCGGCTCACATTGAGCCTGGCTAATGGGGATGCACTATTAGGTTCTAATTGCGCTGAATATTGCCAGAGCAGGCTTAAACTACCAGCATTGGTTGTTTAACCGGCAAAGGCTATCCCGACAACTGCCAGGAAGAAAACCATCTAAGAAATCTTCATGATGCTAAGATAATTCTAACGTCTATGTTAGATTCACAGGTATTGATAGGTGTAATAGGGTCTCACGAAAGTCGAGGGTTGTAAATTGTAATATAAGTTTGATGACATGCTAGGTTTGAGTGAGAGAGAGTAGGAAGCAAACGTAGCATAGTCCAAATTTATAAGATATCCTACGTGCAACGGTATGCACCATCACACAGCATGCCTTCATTTTCAGTCTATTTATTAATGTAGCAGTTTTCATTCTGTCGTGTAAGAAGTGAGGATCTCTCGTCTATCCGACGACGCAGCTATGCAGAGTGGGAGAGTGGGAAATGATTCAGCTAAAAAATAGGTGTGTGAAGTCCTTCTTGCTTTATCTCCAAGCATTATTTTCAATAAGTTGGAAGATGATCCTATATGATATCATCTTCATGTGCACGTATTGAGTTAATTCACAAGCCTCTTCAGCTATCGCTAGTATTAGTTACTAGTTTGTAAGATACAAATTCCTCGATACTCTACCTATTTCCATACTGAAAGGTAGGATCGAGTCTGTGTCGAGTGAATATGCAAAGCGGATTACAGCCTACATAGTGTACCTGGGAATCTGGAGTAACTTGTGTAATGTATCACCAAAACGTGCATCTCATAGCTAATAAAATGCAGGAATACATTCACTGCATGGCTAATATTGAAGGTCTAAGCGGAAAAAGCAATTCATGGTCAGAAAAAGCAATTCATGTTCAGCTAGCCGTAGCTTCAATTATTGAAGAAGACTTTCTTACTATATTGGGTTATAGATATACCTCAGCGCAAATATGACTCTGCTACGAGCTATGTCTCATTAACGAAAGGTCACTCACGCATCCATAAAGATGAAGTTTGGGTATGATATGCAAGTCAGGTATAAAGCCTGTACTGTGGTCCAGCAAAAATGGGCAATTAGCCATGACCCAGATTATAAGATTGTTCGGTAATTCATGCGGAAAGACACAGAAACGGGGGAAACCATTCCACTATCTCGAAGTGGCTTAGTATACATCGACGTTAAGGTTCGAGAAGCAATCAGTTTGGAACAAGGGCAAGTGACCCCGATTTTGGGCAGTACTGTAACAATACCGAGCGATTTACTTTCCAATCAAAATCCGTCGCATATTCAGCCCTAGGATGCACCAGGTGGACGCTAGCACGAGGCCAAGGGGCAGGGGTAGGACACGGACTCAAAGGATCGTACTCCGTACTCCGTACTACGTTGGGGACTAGTATAGATGCTGGTCAGGGGCAAAGTAGAATTACATGTTGGCATTGCAAGTAACTCGTAAAATATTAAGAAAATATGTAGACGGTAAGGTAGGATACATTCCAAAAAAGTTACGGGCGCTGGAAAGATGGAAAAGGTGTAAAGCTGTCATGGTTTACATTAAGGTCGTGCTCAAGCCACCAAGCGAGCTTCACACAACTCCGAAGCTATCCAGGAAGCCCAAGAAGAGTAAAAAAAGAAATATGTATATAAAAAAGCAAAAACGGATAGTCATATCCAATCAGAAAACAATAGTTCCAAGGTAAATCACCAAAACACTAAATAACACAATCCACTCTTGACATCACCTCCAATAATCACTTCGGTTTATGCGACAGCTGCGCCGGGACTGGACCATCAAGATCCAATTACGGTCAAGTGTGCATCACTGAAGAGATCATTTAAGCCAGAACGAAGGCAGCGATGGCAGCGAAGCCAGCGAAGCCAACGGAGCCGGAGAGAGCACCAGCACCGTTGAAGGCGGGGGAGGAGGTGGAGGGGGTAGCAGAGGCAGTGCCGGAGGGGGAGACACCGGAGGGGGAGACCTTGCTGCTGGAGGGAGCGTGGGGGACACCGCCGTTGCCAGCGCTGGAGGTGGCGGAGGGAGTCACGGTCGAGTAGATGACGGTGGGGACGCAGGTGGTGATGGCGATAACCGAGGGGGTACCGACGGGGGTGACGGGGCTCACGGAGCTCACGGAGGGAACAACGGAGGAAACGCCGGAGGAGACAGCGCTGCTGGAGGCAGGAGCGGTCCAGGCGGGGGTCTCGGAGGACCAGACGGGGGACTCAGAAGAGCCGACGCTGGAGACAGCGGGGGCGCTGCTGGTAGGGACAGCAGGGGCGCTGGTGGTCTGGGCGGGAGTGCCAGTGGGCTCAGCGCCGGAGTTGCCGGGGCAGTCGGTGACGGTGGGAGCGCAGGAGGTGATGGTAACCTCGTCAGTCTCGTAGACGGTCTTGTCAGCACCGGGGGCGGCAATGGCAAGGCCGGCGAAGAAGGCAACAGTGGCAGTAGTGAAACGCATTTTGAATATATGTACGGAAAACCGGGTGATTGTTCAAAAGGTTATATAAAAAGCGTAGCTTTTGTGGAAAGAGAGTTGGTAGTTGGTAAAGAGTGGAAGACCGAAGTCGAAGAGAGTGACTGGATGCTATGCAACGAAGTGTGTACTTGGAGAAGAAAGAAAGAAGGGAAAGGAGGGGAGGCAGGGGGCCTTTGTATGAACGGGGAGATTAGTGTCAAGATCAGCACAACACGCTTTGCCCCTAAAAAAAGGGGAAACACTGTTCCTGAGTGTGTACTGGGTACTTCACTGACACTACATCCACACCGTATCCTGGCAGGTACCGGTTACTCGGGCTCTGTGCTTTGCCTGTTTCGCCATGACCAGATGAGTGTAATTTTGGACTAGTGTGGGCTAGCGTGGTTCTGGTAATGCCGATCGCGCCATTAAAACTGGACGTTGAGACAGGATGTGACAGTACAGGTCATGGGATCTATAGAGCCCTGATATCGAGTACACTGCAATGCAACCTTCTGTATACATCTGTTGTGTCGACTCTTTTCCTGTTGTAATTTGACCGTTTCTGCCCAGCATAATAAACACAATGACGCTGTTTCAGACCGCACCGACGATCCACTACCCGTTCCTGGCGTCCCAGTTGCAGTTCCCCCCGTGGGTCCTATCTGACTCCACTTACCCCTGAACAGCCCGCGAATATGTTTTGCCAAGAACCGTATTGTGCAAGGGCGAATCCACGATGATGTGCACTTTACCTGCGAAATTGAGCTTGGTCCTTACTCCGGATATTCATCTAAATAGGGAACCAAACACTGTGTGGCTCTATGACTGGTGCTGCATCTGTCGGAGCGAATCACCGAGACATGGTATTATTACAGTCCCATTACTTTCCTTTCGTTACGTCGTGTGGAGCACTAATAATGGGACTGTACTGTGTCCTCCGGGGCACTGGGTATATCGTCGACCGAGATTGTCTCGCTTTGTTAACTCCCTACATGTACAATAATAGAACATGGATATTTTACAGGATATAACTGCTTATAACTATCAACGCCATATACCCACACGCTCCCTGCCCATGTATTAATTAATTAAGCCCGATAAATCCGTAAGCGAAGAACCCTCGTTCTCGCTCGTTGACCCAATCCCCCCCGCAACGGGAAGGTCTCATGCGCTTTATGGCGGAACAACGGTTAGACCGCATTATTTACCTCCGCGTAAAGTGCTTAACGAAGCTTACTCGTGGGAGCCCCCTTGACAAGCCACCCGGCTATGGGAGGTGTGCTCAAGCGTATGTACATGTACTTTGGAAATTAGATCGAGGTCTAGCCACCTTATTGGGCGTGTCCCTGGCGTGGCGCATCGCTGTGTAATCTCGTTTCGGTCACACCAGCAGCCTGGCCTTCTAGTTAATGGGGCTTAGAGCGTTCAATGTGGTTGGAACCCTGGCCTATTGCAGAGTATCAATGCGTTGTGGTGTCGATCTTCATCCTGTTCCTGAGTCGAGACCTCGGATCAGGCACTGGAAGCGGTTCGACCACCAGTCAGGGCTAAGGCTAGCCTCGATTCCATGTATGGTGTTTAACCAATTATCATTTAGCCCGGATTTGTCGCCATGATTGTGGTTGTTTTCTTACATGTAACCAAAGTCCAGGATAGGGGGGTTACATCTAATAGTTCAGCAACAAAGCAGTCCCTGAGTCCTCGTGGCGCCCCCAGACTCCACATGCCGCCAGTGAAGTCTTGCCCCTTTTTCAATAGATCGGTCGGGCTTGACAGTTGTTTTCTTATAAACCCCATACTTATTTTTGTACTATGTTTAGCCTTCTTTTCTAACTTTGTGGAATAATTATTGGTGGGGATATCTGATACGTTTGTTTCTCTAGATGATCTTATGAATAGGGGGTGTTCGTGCGATAATAATAGCTGTGGACCTAGACCTCTTCCGAAGTTCAACCTGCCTATACAGTGTGTGCTATCATCTTTCAAATTGTTCTCCGGTAAGACAGTGTGTCTGCTAGAGCCCATCCCTGATCTCAGGGGCAGTGGCTTGCTTTGCCAACTCACCGCTCATTCAGCATTTCGAGGCTAAGAAAATATATTGCACGTTCACCTCTTTTGTTCAATGTGTTTGATATGAATGTGATCACCTGCCAAATGAGAGCGTGATTGACCCAAGTGGATTCAATTGCGTGCTGTTCAATGCTTTCAAATCCGCCAGAATATTCATGGCTCACCGAAAACACTCACCTCAACTGAAGCCTGAGCAAATATAAATATGACATCCCTAACGTACAGCGACACGCGACAATATTTCAAGACCATGTCATGGTTCGACTTCGAAGTCACAATCGCATCTAAGCGACTTGTGACTGCGGAAATCCATCTGATCGCCATCCATAATCAGGTGTCAAGCAATTCCGCCGAACGATCAGCAGCAACGCGTCATGTTTGGCGCCGAGACCACGAATCTGCGGTAACAAAATTGGAGCCGCGGAATTATAGTTCCCAAATAAACCTGTACTCGCTAACATTCTGCCCTTTTTATCTTGGTCTTGATGGTGCAATGTGTGACGACAATGTGACACGGAGCCAGCTCAACTACCGACATGTCTTTGGACAATTAGGTACTTTGTGCGCTGTCTTTGAGAATAACGCGGTGCGGATTTGGATGATGTCGAAGGCTTTCACATGAGAGACTTGGTAGCATTTTTGACTTATGAGTGAACCGCTTAGAATTCATCGGAGACCCGATTCAAGATTTTACCTCATCTCACACGTTTGTCCTAGGCCCGGCAACAGGGTTGCATTTTCAATTGATCATTATTATAGAAACTGTTGCAGACCATAGATGGTTTTCAATAAATATACTTTTGTGATCCTTTTTTTGCTTCTGCTCATCGACGGGTGGGCGGCTATTCAGCGGTCTGTTCACATATATTGTACTGTACATTACCTGCACTCTCGGCTTACCGAATCTCCAAATCGGCTGGAGTACGATTCGGTAGAAGATTTAACAGGCGTCTCTAATGAACCCAAATTTGTGATATCACAGCCACACCCATGATCGACTATATATCAAACTTGACCTAATCGGGACTGACCGATTTTGAGTCAGACCAAAATAGACCGTATGTAACTAGAAGCATTCCTAAACATTTTCCTGATCCAATGTCCAAAACTATGTGTTTTGCCCGATTTTCAAGGGCTACAGTGTGCTGTACCGGATTTGCTGGACCTATGATGACATCGGATCCATTGCGCTGCCTCAGATGTGCCTTGGCTAAGCCACACCCAAGGGATATATCTCTGACTTCATGGCCCCTCGAATGACATAAGTCCTATATAGTTTTCTGATACGTCGTTTGTGATTTAATCCCAGAAAGATTATAGTAACCTTGGATTGGGCGTCCTGCAAGGATAACAGTATGTAGGGCGAAGTATTAGGTGTAGTATAAAGCGAAGTATATGGGCAAGTGGAGAAATGAGTTGGCAATGATGTCGACGCCACAGTTTTCTGGCTGCAAATGTGCCCAGCGGGAGGCAATTGCGGCTCCAAGGCAACAATATATCCGATGTTTCTATACTCGAGTTGGGTAAACGCCTATGTTCGTGCTTCCGAACCATGGCTCTGAGCACTCAATCTCTTCACTTCTCTTTCAAGTAAATATCAATTTGTTCAATTTGTTCAATATGTTCAATATGTTCAGATTATCCTCAGAATAGAATAGAATAGACAATCGCGATCGCCATGTTTCAGCTGAAGCGCCTTCTGAAACACCGTGGCCCCACTGCCCGTAGGACCCGAGTCTCTCGGCTGTGTCGCTCTATTAATATTCGACAGGTTAGATGTCATATGTAACTCAGTACGTACTGTGTCAAAGATCTTATATAGGTGGAGTGGAAGGTCACCTGCTCTCGGCAACCTCGCAACTTCAAAGGGCCTTATCTCTTACAGTGTACTCCGTACTTTTTCCCTCTTTACCCCACCTCTCTCTTTCTCTGTCTTCCATCCAGGACTCGCGGTCCGTCGACGCTGTGGCTACTCTCGCTGATCCGAACGAGTTGTTCTTGCCTGGCGAAAGGCAAAACAATCTCGCCATGTCCTCCTCCGTCCCTCTCCTTCGACCGCCCGTCCCTGGCGCCCGCAACAACAACGGCAGCCCGCGAGCTCCGAAGCTCACGTTAGGCATTCCCCCTTCTCCAAGCGCCAAACCTGTCAATGGCAACGGCGCCCCCGCTCCAGCGCTTCAACCTTTGCCTCCACCTCAACTCCAGCGCCCGGCTGGGCGACCAGGACGACCAACACTGCAACTGTCGACTCCCATGGGCAGTCAGCAGAATGTCTCCCAACAGCCAACTCTCATGCCGAACGGACGACCAGCTCCGCCCCCGCTGAGCACGAATGGACTCGGAGGTGGTTCCAGTTTGGAGGTGAAGACCGTCGGACCGGCGTCTGCAACCTCTGCCAATTATTCGTCAGCTAATAATCTCTCCATTCGACAATCTGGCGGCGACTCGTCAGACCCTTCGTCGGCGATTGGTTCGGTGTACTCAGATCGCGATGGTGTGTCGATGGAACGCGAAAACAGCGTGAATGGACTCCTTCCCGATCTGGATAAGCTGTCTTTGGAGAAGGGCCGGCCCCTCGATGTTGATGACCTCGATGATGAGGGATGGCATGCGGCCAGTGAACAGGACAAAATCGTCGAGTTGGGTAGTCTAGGCGAAGGTGCCGGCGGGGCCGTCACCCGATGCAAACTCAAGGAGGGAAAGACCGTGTTCGCATTAAAGGTATGTCCTTTTGGCGAGTCGAGAATGCGCCCAGCGAGACTAATGCGTCTATTTAGATCATTACTACAGACCCAAACCCCGACGTCAAAAAACAGATTGTTCGTGAGCTCAATTTCAACAAAGATTGCGCCTCCCACCACATCTGTCGCTACTACGGTGCTTTCATGGACAAGTCTACCGGCACAATCTCCATTGCCATGGAGTTCTGCGAAGGTGGCAGTCTCGACAGCATTTACAAAGAAGTCAAAAAGCTTGGAGGTCGCACTGGAGAGAAGGTTCTCGGCAAGGTCGCCGAAGGTGTCTTGAATGGGTTAACCTACCTCCACAGCCGCAAGATTATCCATCGAGGTACGAACTATGGTGCTCTCATGTGATACAGTGACCGGTTAGCTAACTTCGCATACAGATATCAAACCATCCAACATTCTCCTATGCCGTGACGGCAAAGTCAAACTCTGTGACTTCGGTGTTAGCGGTGAATTCGGTACCAAGGGTGACGCCAACACCTTCATCGGCACTTCTTACTACATGGCTCCGGAACGTATCACTGGTCAATCATACACGATCACATCCGACGTGTGGTCTCTGGGCGTGACTCTGCTCGAAGTCGCGCAGCACCGATTCCCCTTCCCTGCCGATGGGACTGAGATGCAACCCCGTGCAGGTTTAATAGACCTTCTCACATATATTGTCCGCCAGCCAATTCCCAAGTTGAAGGATGAGCCGAACAGCGGCATTCGTTGGTCGGACAACTTCAAGTACTTCATCGAATGCTGGTGAGTGTTCCCTGGAAGCCGGTCTACTTTATAATACTAACTGGAATCCCAGTCTGGAAAAAGAACCTCCTCGACGAGCTACTCCCTGGCGGATGCTGGAACATCCATGGGTACTGGACATGAAGAACAAGAAGGTCAACATGGCAAACTTTGTGAGGCAGGTATGGGATTGGAAGGAGTAAAAACCGAAGGATCCCACCGAGACCTCCCAGTCTCGCATTGCACTGCATTTTTAGTTCCACTTTTGAGTATAGGTGGCTGGAACCCTAAGGATTGACCTGGCTGTCAACACCACTCAAACGACCCATTCGTCACGACTCATCCAATGCTTTTTGTGCTTTCCGCTTCTCTTCCCTCCCGGGCCGGAACTCGCGGAGTCTCCACAACTTTCTCATACCCTATCATACCATCTTGCTGTTTTCTCCATCTTCCAGCGACACAGATTTCATCGCCTACGCTTCACCTCCTACGATCCTTTACGGCCTGACTCTCCCGCATTGCATTCCTTCCAATATCCCCATCCCTCCGTGGTCTCTCTCTCCCTACCTCTCTCCTTTATTTACATTACATTACCTATTCTATTCTCATTCTCTCCCTCACATCTCTCTTCCTTATCCATGGGATGGACCCCCTCTCTTTCCATTTGCTATTCTAGTTTCTGGTTGCTCCTTTCCTGTGACATTTCGAGCCTGGACATATCGGTCATCTTGGTATATCGCTTTCTTCTTTTTCCACTACGTGTATAGCGCTCTTCCATTGGTTCCTGTGTCTGATTTAGGGTTTTACTTGGGGTCATCTTTGCTTTGCATCATCTTTGCTTTGCACTGGATGCGGGAGTGTATGCAACGCATTGGAAGCTTCCTTAATACCATTGCATCTGACTTCGGGTTACGTCGATATAATAGTGCGTAGAAGCATACATAACTTATACCGTGGCTACCTACTTGTGATTTACATGTCTACGAGAGATAACGTTACACAATAAAGCCTCCAAGGAATTTTTCTTAAGATTACATATCATATCGTTGCTATCATAAATGCTACATACAGTCCCAATCTCAATCCGAATATGAATTGTAGAGCGGCAAAGCTATATCCGTACCCAACCATCAGGATCTCTGTCTCTCTCCTCCTTAGACACATATAGGTCTATCATGTTACTTGTTCACAGGATCAGCACCCAATACCCACCCAATACCACTAACCAAACCACCAGTCACCATATTGCTAACCATATCCCTCTTCCGAACACGGCTATCGCTATCCGGCGACAACGGACGATCCCCATCAGCCGCGACTTTGGAGTTCGAATTCGAACCTGGGCCCGAAGCCGTTGAATCGGCTGCTCCACGAAGTGGGAAGGCGTTCTTATGCAAGGCAAGGGCTGCACCACGCGCAACTTCGAATAGACCCATCGGCGCCTCGTGGTGCGAACTCATAGCTGCCCGGGCGCGTGCACGACGTGCGGCGCGTTGCTGCTCGGTATCGAAGGCGTCGCGCTCTGAATCCGAAGGTCCGAACCCGCCTGGGACGGATGAGAGGGTGTCGCCCTTTGTGTCCCAGAGGTCTTCTTCTTGTTGTTCGCGGGCGCGGAGGGAGGAGAGTTCTTCGTCGCAACGGCGCCAGGCACCTAGGATTTCGGGGAGGGGGTCTGGGGAGGGGACGAGGACGAGGGCTAGGGAGAGGAGCTCCATTCTTTGGGAGAGGTGGGTGATTTGGGATTGGAGGGTTGGGGGTGGGTTGACTGGGGTTGTGGAGCGGTAGCGGCCGGCGTTGTAGACGGCTCGCCAGGAGATGTCGTCTGGGACGGCGGGAGTTGTGAGGAGTGGGGAGGAGGTTGAGAGAAGAGATGGGGGTGTTAGCCTGGTGAGGATGTATGAGTAGGCTGTGCCGAAGTCGTTTGAGGATAAGGCGGAGGCGATTGCCAGGGAGGTGATGCGACGCTCGGCTGTGAGGATGATGGATTCCTCTGAAGGCTTCTGGTGAGATGGTTCATTCTCGGCTTCAGCTGTGGTGTTTGTGGGTACCCCTGCGGCTACTAGGTTGCGCCCGATAGATAGGAGATCATCCAGTTTGGTGTAGCTCTTTGCATTTTGCTCCAGGACCTTCTCAATCAATACAAGTGGGTCATGGTGAACGCGGATGCTGACAGGCTGGAAGGGGACACCATGTTGGAGAGTCAGGGAGTAGAATGAGAGGGCGTGGGTCGCGGCGATGAGAGCATGGATCTGTTTGAATCCAACAGAGCCGGGGAAGTGTGGTTGGAATGCTTGTAATCTGGAGTGTTGTCAGTGTCATGGTTCGTAATTTCTCGTACAATAGCGCTTACATGTCGTAGGCCCTCTTCATTCCTCCGCGGGTTCGGTTGCCATTGCTTGCGTTGTCATACGCAGTGAATATAGCATCTTGGGCCGCCAACTCCACTTGGGTTGCACTCAGCGGTGCTGCTTTGGAGTCGGTATATAGGTCCACGGCCAATTGATGTTCTGGGAATGGTATCAGTATCAATAGTAAACAGTGATCATCAGTGAACTTACCTCTGGCCGCCAGTAGAGCCTTCAGGATTTCTGTTTCCACCGTGTCGCGCGGAATCCTCCAGAAAAGTCCGTGGTAAACTGAAGGTTCATCCCAAACCTCTGACTGTCCCGCCTGCCAATCTCGAAGCCAAAGCAGCCGTTCCCGGACCGATAGCCATTCTTGATATGACCTGGGTTGCTTCACGGTCGAGCTGACCACGTTCTTAAGCTCTGCCAGTTGCATCTCCTCGGTGCTGTGAAGGCACATGTTTGCGGCAACACGACAGGGAACCAGATGACCAAGTTCAGTTAATATGCGAAGGGAGATAAGTAAGGCGCTGAGGAATGAGATCGATGAAGGCGACGGCTGAGTAAGAGGATTTGTCGGTCTCAAGAGGGCATTCTGCAGTAGCGATGCCCGGGAGGTCGAGGAAATGGAATCGGTATCGTAGTAAATAGATGGCAGCACAGAGTCAGAGCTTAGGTATGAGCTTTCCTCTAGGTCGAGCAGCTTGGCAACACGCTCCAACACCTTGAAAGAGCCCTTTAGCACAGCCATCGAGGAATCCGCATGCGCATATACCACAGAAAGACCGGATTGGCCGTATCGAGTCTGCAGTTCTTTCGCTTTTTCCTTCGACATTTGTGTACCGGGTTCTTCATACCCTCCCAAATCGACATCTGACGGTCCATCCCATTGCGTGAATGCGCCCACAACACTGTCATGGTCCACAAGACTCCGTGAGAGGAGCCATTCGTTCACGTGTTCCCAACCAGCCAATTCGGCGGACTGAGTCTTTGAGGTCCCTTCGATGAAAGACACCGAGTTCTGCGCAGCAGCCTCGTTGAGTCTCCGCCGTTTCGATCGGCTCCCACCGTAAAGCCAAGGTCCAATTAGACCTCTCAAGTTATTAACCAAGTCCATGCTGCTTCCTTCGGAGCTCATCAAAGACAGGAGAATGTTGACAGCCGTCTGATCGTCCATAGACTCTAAGATCTCAAGTGAAATTGTCTCATCGCGGTGCGCATAGTATTCATAATTCAGCCGAAGCAATGGTAATAGGCTCGAGATTAGCCAGGTTCGAATAATTGGCGAGTGTTCGTAGAACGGCAGAACGAGTTCGAGGACGAGTGGTTGGAGTGCTGTTTCCGAGTCGATCAGATGCGCCCGATGTATGATAAATTGAGTCAGAGGATCTGCAGAGGCGACATCCTCTTCCTCGTCGGGGCGTTGTAGTGGTCGTAGATTAAGCTTCCGTACGCGCTTTCGGGCTACCGATTCGGACAAGTCTTGAACGGCCGAAGTATCAAGCGACCGGTCTGCGGGCACAATATTGGAGCTATTGGCTAGCTTTTGAATTACCGAAGTGTAGTGAGAGGGCTCTGTACTCTCCGGGAGGAAGGTCAGGATAATGCGTAGGAGGCGCTCCAGTGGAAAACAATGAGGAAACTGCGCCTGTAGAACGGGCAAGTCGGCCACGTTGCCACCTGCGCAGAGGATCGTGGCTAGCAGGATAGCGTGCGCGTCCGACAACTCGAGAGCCATGATCTAAAGAGTCGAGACAGTGTGAGGTGGCCTCATAGTTGGTGACGGTGTTGCATACGGCGGGGCGCACAGACCAAGTCGGAAACGAAAGGGAAGAGTCGCATCCGTCGGCCACTTCATCACCACCTTTTTCGCGGTCTCTGTGCCTACCACCAGCTCAATTACCTCCTTCTACACTTCACAATGGCCTCCGGTTACGGTCTCAACGGCGGTATGTGACATTTCACCCTGTTCCCGAGGGATCAGCCCGGGTTCGCGGTCATGAGCCCTCGGATCACAACATGCACAGCCAGTTACCTCCCCCCGCCAATGAACCCGGCTAACACACTACTGCGGCTTCTAGGTCAGAACCGCTGCTACCCCTTCTGGCAGGAGGTCCTCGGTTGCTACGTGGTCAACTCCGGCGAGGGTGAGGCTGGCAAGAAGAAGTGTGTGCCCGCCCTGGAGGATTACTACGAGTGCCTTCACCACCGGAAAGAGGTAAGGACAATCCCCGATCGATCTTTTTTGCGCATTCGAAATGCAGGAACTAAGTCTAATGGAATTTCGTGACAACAGGCTCTCCGTACTATGAAGATGCAAGCTGCCTATCGCAAGGCCGAGGCCGCACACCCGCGAGAGAACGCCCCCAAGGCCGAGCAAATCCGCAGCCTGGGTCTACTTGGGAAGGAAGAAGAGGCAACTGCTCTGCTGAACCAACGGTGAATGGGGGAGTTGTGCTTGTTCTTTTTCAATACCTGTTATTCCGTGTTTCCGCCCGGGACTTTTGCCCGGAGCCTGTGACTGTATAGAAACGCTCAACTGCTCTTGACCATCAGGTCTGTTGGTTCGAAATGATACTCCAATTCGATGACAATCGGTCTTTCATCCTGGAGTGTCAAACTCGTGATACGGGTCCGGGGTGGGAAATGTAGCAATAGAAGACGAGATATTTCTAACCCTATAGGCTTAATTGGCAGGCTAGATATATAGCCTGGCTGAGTGCAGACAATCACGCTCTGTGGTCAGTCGTTTGTCCCTAGCCGCTTCTCCCGGTGCTCTTTCCTGGTTTCCCCTTTATAAAGTTCGCGGGATTCTTCTCCTCCGCCAGCGATCTTTGATAATGGCGGCATGAGAGACT